ACAGATGTGTCTGCCGTGATGGATACAGACATGAAAAGCATCCTTCTGATCAGTGTATAGGTAAGATACAGAGCTAGGAGTGACATAACTTATTGTTCGTCAACTGTGATACCCTAGCAACAAATGTGTGTCTATTTGTTTTTGTGTCTAAAGCTGTCAGTCAAGTAAGCAGTATCGTGGGAAACCTAATAAAGAATAAGCGAAGTTGAGGTTATCGAGGGTCCTAAACTGGGTGGTGGTTAAGTTGGTTGGGTGGGTGGGGGGTGGTCAGTCCCATTTCCCAGCTTTTAATCCCATTTGCACTAGCTGAATAGTTCAGTGAATCCCATTATTTTAAACATATCAACTCTTTTCTCAGAGGTGGCTCACAGTGTAAAGGTTTTCAGCATGTTGTAAGCACTTTTACTTTGATCTTTTAGTTGGTACTACACTGAGGTTTAAAACAGTCATTATGACCTGCACACCGTTACTTTTAGCTTTAAACTGCTCATGAACGAAAAACGAGTTCTGATTCAGTCATTTTTTTCTTGTTTGCTGTCGAATTGTTATTACGGATAACTTGTTTAAGTACAACCTCCCAACCAGCAAGCATTTTTTTAAATCTTTGTGAACGGTTGAATGATGATATGCTCATTCAAAATTTGCTCATATGAAGTGAGGCCACCAAAGTAATTTCAGTAAATTTTGAGTACTTGAATAAGCTGAGATAAAGGGAGTTTTTAACAGGTTATACTTATGCTAAAATAACCTGGTACAACAGGAAAGTGACCATAAATTGTTCACTTATGGCTGCGCATTTGTCCCTATTATTATAGCATCAACTGAAAACCTAATATTGCTGTAAACTTGATGAAAAATGATGGAAACTATCACCAGCCATATTAATTGAAGTTAAATAAAGATGACTCCTACGAACGATATATTTTAGTTCCAGAAAATATCCAAACCCTCCCGGGAGGGCAACGGAAATTCTGAGGTGGTGGGGTCCAAAGGGAATCAATTTTCGAGGAGTAGGGGTGGCTTTTCAAGGTCTTGTTTCCGGATTGCTAAGCTATTAAAAAGTATCAGCTCCTCTGTTGAGCAAGCTGCCATATCTTTTACTGTTAACCGGCGTTTCAAAGCAAGAACTGTTGTTTTAATTGAGGAACCTTTTAGTACGGTCGGCTGAATGCTTTTTATCACAGTATCGACACCAGAATAAACGTCCATTGCCATATCTTTTACTGTTAACCGGCGTTTCAAAGCAAGAATTGTTGTTTTAATTGAGGAACCTTTTAGTACGGTCGGCTGAATGCTTTTTATCACAGTATCGACACCAGAATAAACGTCCAGTTATCTAGCGGTTGCTTTATTACACTATTGTAATAATTTTACATATCACGTCCACCATATGGTGCGGAACACACAACAGAGTGGGATCCAATTTAAATGTGTCCTTTCAGATAACCTACCCAGCTCAGGAGAGGTTGGCCACACCACCGGGGTCTACGACCCGTCTTTTCGAACAGTGGTGTGGGTTTTTTTACGTCCCACAAGAACCAGATAAGTGACAGTCCTGCCAGACGGGACCTAAGGTTTTTTCATTGTCCGAGAAGATTAGAAAGTCCAACCGTTTGCAGGTGTCATTGCAAAGGCAGCACATTCTCCTCAGTTATTTTAAGACCCTGAGTTTTGGTTCGGCCGGGGTTTGAACCCGCGACCTCCCGCTCGGCAGACCGGCGCTCTCCCAACTAAGCTAACCAGGCGGCGGTATAATGGTTGTAATGTGGTTGCAGATTCTAAGCCTTCTTCTACTCGAATTAATTGCCTTTGATTGGTAATAAGGCTGAAAAATTATAATTATATATCTTCTACTGTCACCTGTTTTCAGCTTTCCACTTTATGTTCTTGAACAATTGCAGATGTTGATGAATGCCATAAAGGTATCCATGACTGTCAACAAGGTATTAGCTGAAAGCAAACATTACTCTATCTAGTTTCTAAATTGGGTTGAAATTTTTGGGGGAAATTCAGACGCCGTATCTCATGAGAATTTAATTTTGAATTTTTTGGAGAGGGAAAAACCCCTTTTTTATGTAAATTATAGTAGGAACTTGCTCATTTATTTGTGAGGAATATTTTAATAAAAATAAGTATCATTAGAATTATTTCAGCTCGCAGGCTGAAATCTGAAAAGGAAAAAACTGCCAATTTTGCAGAGTATTCTCTCACACACTTATTAGTATACAGATTTAATACCAGTATTCTGATGGAGGAAGCTTTGTCGTTAGGTGCATTGACAACTGCCGCGAAACGGGCTAATTTTTTTTTTTAATAGTATTAAACTCATCGCATGGAGTTTGCAACGGTAGCGCTCGATGATCAAAGGAGGCGGGTTGAAAAGAATTATAAGATGAGGGTGACAGCTTAGAAAAATGGGTAGTAATGTACTTATCGCATGGCACATGCCAAGTTGGAAACAAACGTTATAAAATATTAGTAAGACTACAGCTTTAAAATGTTTTTTTTTTTCCCTTCACTGTCAGACGCAAACTCAGAATGTAAGAATGAGCCTGGTTCTTACCGTTGCGACTGCAAAGACGGGTTTGTAAAAGTTGGAGCTACATGTAAAGGTAAGCATCGTGATTAAAAACAAAGTGGCTGTTTCTTACAATAATAGAGAGACGTCGTTACGCCACGTTGCCATGGTAGCAAAATTTTGGATGACAATAAACCAAAAATGTCAGTTAAAAAGGGGATTCGCACTGTTTCAAAGAACCAAGACATGGAATCCAGCACAGATGAAGGAAGAGGCCAGTGAGCCGCGCGCTCCTACATTGTTAAGACAGCTGATGGGTCTGAGCTAAGGCGCAATAGAGTACAGCTGAAGCCCTTAGAGAAAACAGCAGCACAGGATAATAGCAACAAAGAGAGTGCTTCAACACACCGAGACCTATCTAAGCCTTTAACCTATCCACAGTTGTCATTTCCAGAACTACCCCGAGCAGCCAGCCAGTCACCATTGCCTTCTGACCAAAGCAATGCTAACTTACCCGTGACAAGCAGGATCGGTCGTGTTGTGAAGAAGCCATCTAGACTATAGACTTATGAGTCTCTACCTTTAGAACTCTTCTGGCATGTTAACCGTACAGAGACACTGATAAACAGTATTGTTAACCACTTTATTTATTAGTTGTTTTGTTGTTTGTCGTACCCAGACGAAGGCGATTGATTTACAAGCTTTTTGAGTGTTCTCCCAACATCCCAAGTGGGTTATCACGCCGGTTTTCCCATAGACAGTGTGGTCTATTGCTTTCATAATTTAAGTTTAAGTAAAACTATGAGTTTACCGGCACAATAAACCATAGGTTTTATAACCAATCAGAAGGCGTGTATTACCTTAGTTATTTTATAAATATGTATAATCAACCTTGTGCATGCGCAGTGCATGCACTTAAGGACATGTTTCTCTACGACCCAGCTTGCAGAGGCGGAGGATTATTAAAAACAAGTGTTTTGACCTAATGCGTATATTTTTTAAGGGAGAGACAAAATTAAGTTAATTCACTGTAAGAAAATAGCTTTTTCATTTACATTGGGAGGAGAGAAAATTAATTTTAGTCACTGTAAGAAAATGGTCTCATATTTTGCTCCGAAGATGATGGCCGTGATGAAATGATTTAGTAGCTAAATAATTTAAAGCCGCCGTCACACGAATGGCCTTACTGCAAATTATTGGCATATTAGATTTGATTTGTCGTTGTTGACACTGGGAATTTTTTATATTAATTCGTCTTTGCGTGGTGTCTAAAAATTTCACACGAATTTTCAGTTCTTAGGCGTTTTCTAACTGTAAGCCCTTGCGGGGCGTGATATTGAAGGGAGGTAAGCTGAAAGGAGCGCAGAAGGTGTGACATGCTTTTCTGGGGGTCCTGAAAATTTTGAACATTTATGTTCTCTGAGATTCATTCTGGTGCCTTCTGGACCTTTAAACTTCGCAAATGCTAGGACTGGTTCCATATTGAAGGAGAATGGAATTTTTAAAACAAGAAAGCAAGCTGTTTTCGTGGTTGAAACACCTTGGTTGCAAATATACCTAAAAACTTGGTGGAGCTTAAAGAAATTCGAATGAGTTAGCCAAATTACAGGTTCTGCATTTATGTCTTTGTAAGCATGCATGTGGGCATGCGCTTTTCAACAAGTCTACAATGTCTACGGTTGAATTACGGCTAAGTCGAGCAGCGAAGCTTGCATGGGCGAGTCGTTTTAACCCTTGAACGTACAAGTGGGGGGGGGGGGGGGGGGGGGGTGCACGGTTGGCGGAGCGGGGGGGTGGGTGGGGGGGTGTTTTCGCGGTTCGGACGGGTGGGGGGGGGGGGGGGGGGGGGGAGTGTTACCAGCCCCGCTAAGGTTTTTCTGATTTTTTTTCCTGCACGATCAAACATCTGCAGCTGAAGTTTTCTGTAGCTGTTTGTTTATCCCTCGCGCTCATTTTGAGACAAGTTTAGTGATGGTCAGTTATTATTGTCACGAGATATGGCGTCATAAGCACGAGGTGATCAAGTCATTTTTGAGTGAAAATGCATGTTTTTTAAACTTCTTTCATGAATAATAGTAAAGCTTGCGGATAAAACGAGGCACAGTAATTATTTATGTGTTATTTTACATGTTAAGCGCAAAAAATATTAATTCTCACTGTTTTTACTAGGTTTCTAATTCTTACTCAATTTCCTGATGGAATCCATCTTGTCAGAGAAAAATAAGAAACAGTCAGGGCTCCACGTGCCGTGAAAAACACCAAATAATAAGTTATGGTATATCGATATATAAAGTTGTAGACAAGATGGCGAGATGTACAGCTGTCAGGGGGACGTTTAGTTGAGAAAATATCGTAACACTAAACAAAAGAGAAAGACTGAAATTCCATCCACGACCAGCTCCCCATAGATTCCTTTTCCCTTTGCCGCTTTCTGTTCCTTACTCATTGTACCATTTTTCTTTTAGCTAGAGAAGAATAAAACGTTCAAATAAAGTTCACTTATGAAATTCAACTAACTCGGGGATTTTTTTTTCCAGAGAATTGGAAGATGATCAATACTAACCCAGTCTGCTTTGGAGCAAAGGCTGACTCATACGGAAGATTTAACATTTCGGAGAGTGGGGTCATCTATACGTTTAAACTTGTTCATCTGAGCGGCTCAGTTAGCTGTAATCCGACATACCCATCTTCTTACTGGGGATGTGACAATCCGGTTTTTGAGAAGGAGAGACTATTTACTGTTATAACGTTTCAGAACAGGTCTGCTCTTTTGCTCGCAGATTACAGAAGAAAGAACTGTAGATATTATTCTTACAAGATAGAAGGTGTAGGTATTAACCAAACTGAACTTCAGTTCAACATCCTCCCATCTCCAATATCCGTGTCTGTTGGAGACGAGTTTCAAATTTGGTACGGACAAGACTTAAAAGACTGTTCAGAAAACAATAACAGCGGTCAGACTTGTGCTGATGTTCATGCGTTGTACGCGTGAATCAAAGCATACCTGACTCAATACAAACCGCATGCAAATACTATCAAATTTTTCACAAATACTTCATGGTTTTAGTGACTTGGATGCCTTTCAACACAAAGGCTTTGTTTTGTTTGTTTGTTTTTTTTTGTCTTTTTTTTTTTCCCGACGAACATTGCATGGGGCAATGAAGGAGGGATAATTAATTATACCTTGTTTTATATGTTGTTATTAGAATTAGAGAATTAGAATAGTAAGTAAGTAAGTAAGTAAGTAAGTAAGTAAGTAAGTAAGTAAGTAAGTAAGTAAGTAAGTAAGTAAAAGCTTTATTAATGTGTCAGCGTATTTAGTTTTCACAACTAATTGGGGACACAACAAAAAAGATTTAAAATTATTTACAAATAAGAAATAAAAAAATGTATATACATGTACAATTAAAATATGTAGCATGTATAAATTGTACAATACAACATTAGGTTTATAAAAGGTTATAAAAAGTCTCTAAGAATTGCAAAAGTTACAGCAGCTATTGTTGTTGTTTTAGAGTGACGTTAGGTCTTTTTTCCTAATGCTCTTTTTAAAAGATCCAATATTCGAGGAGCCTTTCAATTTATTATCTAGTTTCGACCATTTATGAGGTCCTTGATATCTAAGAGAATGTTTTCCATAATTAATAGCTTTAAAAGTAGGAATATCAAAGTCACTGTTTCTTGGTGAATGACGAGAAGACATAGTGCTTTTCTGCTTAAATAGTTTGTCAACAATACAAGGCAATAATGCACGCAGCATCAAGCTGTTTATTTAGTTCAAATAATGATGCGAAATTGGTATTTGCTTAGATAAATCATGCCATTTATCCTGAGGTATCATCAGTTTGATATTTAGCTGGGTACTTTTCAAAAAGTCTGGCTACTTTATTGTTTGTCTGTTTGTTGTGGTTGTTGTGTTTTTTTTCATAAGCTATAAAGTTAAGAACAGTTGTACTAGGAGACCTACCGGCCGCGGCCCACCACTTCAGGACCTGAACTGAAATTTAACTACCAATACAAATCACCTCCATTTCGATAGAATCATGGAGCGTGTGATGTTACAAAGCATCGCATAGCAGACTAATATCTTGTTGTTAGGTACTACACGTTCACGTTAAAGTTCTATTTAGCTATCAATAGAAAGGTTCTCACGGTTCCCAGTGTCCTTTTAGTGGTGTATTAGCTTGTACAATACACGCAATTGTTTAGGTTTACCCTTAGGCTAGTCTTTGCTATCAGGTTATTCACCTTACTAGATGTATGGTCGTACATTAATTAAGTCGCTTTTAAATTAAGAGGCGGTCCGTGTAAGAACCGACCACTCGAATTTCCGCGGGAAACAGAATTCCTTCATTCTTTTTTCTGCGACAAAATTAGCCCATTCTATTAACAAAAATCGAATTTGTTTGGCTCATAGGGCTTTTTTTAAAAAAAATTGACCGGCGATTTGCCTGGACGGTCCAAAGCTGTCATGATCGTCTTTTTGAAGGTCAAATTTAAGCGTTTTGTTCTAGGCTCGCAAAAATTTCGCATTTATCCAAATAGCATAAAACAAAAGTATGATTTTAATTCATGCTTCCTTTATTCAAAAAGGGCAAAATATGTAAATTCTGACTTTAAAAAAAAGGAGTTATGATGTTTTGAAAATACCACGTAAAGCGTCCTTGGATAAAATGCGCGGTTATCCTAGTTTTGAAATGAGCTTTTTTCAAAAGTCTGACGTTATCTGGAGTCTTGGTCATCATCCCTGTTCAGTACTAGGACTACTGTATTGAAATCAAGAAAAAGATTTTTGGGCACTGTTGATTCCGAGGCACAAGATTCCGATAAAGTTGGGTAATATTCTACTGTAATTGCGCGTATGACGTAATTTACGCATTTTCCTGATTCCGAACTTTCCTACAATAAATCTAAAAATCATCATTGTCAGACAACACAATCAATACCTTTATGCGCCTTGTACTTAATTAATTACATATATGAAAGAGCACAAATATATATATATATATATATTTATTTGTACTTAATAAAGCCTGGAGCTGAAATAATCCTAAGATTTTCTAGCCAGTTCTTTAAAGAATTTAAAGTTGTAAAGTATTGAGATAGAATTTAATACCAAAGAAGCAGTTTTAAACTACAATGTATTAAGAAAGAAAGAGTATATGCTTAAGTTATGTTAACTGTTGTTCTGACAGCAAATAAGGTTTCAATTGTTTTTGGAATTTGTATGTGTTTAGTTCTTTAAGAGTTAAGGGAATTTTGTCCCAGACCACACATGCAGCATATCCGATTGTTTGTTTCCCCGTATTAGTTCGCACTTTTTTTACGTAAAGATTCTATTTCGATGCATATCTGGTATTGTATTTGTGGACATTACTGGCATATTGAAAACAGTTGGAGAACAGCTTTGGCAGGAGGCCTTTATGCTAGAGGTACGTGACTTTTGGAATCTGAAATCGATAAACATAATGTACCGTAAGAACGTCTAATAAATTTAGTAGGGGAAGTGCACTTTCTGTGTGTTCACCATAAGGGGTGGTAAAGAAAATAAGCCTAGCAGAAGAATTTTGCTTAGATTGTATCTTATCAATATGTGTTTTGTATGCACTCCCCCATGCTAATATTGCATAAGAGATATATGGGTATATTAAGCTGTAGTAGATTTGTTTCATTTGTAGAAGAGTTAGATAATGTCTCAACTTAGATATAATACCATTGTTTCGCGCAATTCTTGTACAGATGTATGAAATATGGTGATTGAAAGACATCGTTTGATCAAACAAGACACCACGATATTTTATTTTTTGCTTCCTTTGTAGCACATTTATTGTACCATCTGCACTTTCAATCTTGATATTTACTTGGTCATCTTTTTTCTTTGACGATTTAATGATCATGAAGTTTGTTTTATTGAAATTAATTGACAATCTATTTACATCACTTTTTTAAGTTCAGAGTTAACTATTTCCTCAAGATCTTTCAGGTTGCGGGCTGAGGCAAAAACGTTTGTATCGTCTGCAAATATTCTAAATGTTAGAGCATTTGAACAGTTTGGTAAATCGTTTATGTAAATTAAAAATAATACTGGGCCTAGAGAACTCCCTTGTGGAATACCGCACGTCATTGTTTGCTTTGACGAAACTGTATTTCCCATCTGTACATATTGCTGTCTATTTGTGAGATAGCGTGCAAAAAGTTGGAGAGGCAAGCCACGTATCCCGTAGCGTTCCATTTTTTTAAAAGTAAAATTGTGTGGTTCACCGTATCAAACGCTTTGGAAAAGTCCAAAAACACGCCACGGGAATACAAATTGTTATCTATCGCATTACGTAAATTATCAGCAATTTCTGCAATGGCTTGTGAGGTTGAATGTCCCTTTCTAAAGCCAAATTGGAACTCGTATAGGATTTTATGCTTTTCCAAGTAATTAACAAGCTGTTCAAAAATGATTTTTTCTAAAATTTGGGTTAGTGCCGAGAGTGTAGAGATAGGTCGATAATTAAAAGGATCCATCTCTTCACCCCACTTTATCTATTGGTGTGACTTTTGAAAATTTAAAATTTCCGGAAATATTCCTTGCAATAGAGCTTGATTGAAAACCATACTTAATGCCTCATATATACACTGTAATTTTCAGGGAGTTATAATAACTCCTCTAGTGGGGCTAATTTAACTCCTTACAGTGGAGTTATTTTTCGTGGAGTTATTTTAACTCCAAAAAGGAGTTTAAAGAACTCTTTTTCAGGAGTAAAAGTGACCCCAGATATTGAGGAGTTAAAATAACCCCAAAAAAGGAGTTATCCTGTACCTAAAATTTTTACTCCACTTTCAGAGTTAAATTAACTCCAAAAAGAGTAAAAACAACCCATGTAAGGAGTACAA